GTTTATTAGCAGTTAGAATTCAGTCAGAATTTTGAGGGAAAAAAAGTCAGATTTCTGAGATTAAAGTCAGACTCTGACAGATTCTGATTTTTTTCCCATATCAAACTGAAATAATATTTAAAAATCAGTTAACTTTTTTATTTTTTCAGTGGCCCTAATCCTCTTCCATACTTTACACAATGATCAAACAAGGAACTTAAAAGGGGATTTGAAGCTATTTGACCTGCTCTGCATTATTTGATACAAAACATCCAAAGGAGCTGAGTCTGAAGATCAAACCTAATGTTTTACCTTTACAAGTTGAACAAGTGCATTTGAGTAAAAAAAAAAAAATGGAAATTTTAATTCAAAATATCGTTTGGAAACTAAATTCATTAAAAAGAATTAGACCAAAGGAACCTGATTTAATTTACCTAATCAAATGGTCCTACATGTGAAAGCAAAACAGATTTAATTTGGAATGAATAAAGAAAATATATGTTTACACTCATCTTTCAACATTATATGTAATTAAGAAAAGCCTACTTTATTTTCTTCTTACTTTTCTTTATATTCTAATGGCCTTTTACTGTTTCACTTCCAAACATTTATCATAGATTTGTAAAATAACTAAAGAGAATTAAACCATTTTTCACGAGAATAGGTAAATCATTTACATAACCTTTGTGTTACAGATGTCCAAATATTATCTTAACCTTTAGATTGAGGGCATATAGAAGCTATGTCCAAATCAATAGTTAGTTTTCATCAAAATTACACACTGAGAAAAAGTGTCAAGATGTATGTTAATTCTCTTAAATATATGTATTAAATTTTTTTCTTTCCTTACACAAACTTATCACAACAAAACAGGTAACACAAAAATATACATTTATTATAGAATTTCAAAAGGAATGCAAAAAAAAAAAAAACAGAACAAAATACTTGAGGGGATATGAGTTAGCCTTTATAAAATACCATAATCAGGGGGTTAACTTAAAATAAATCTGTTTTCAAAAAGAGGGCAGGTTGGAAGCATTTTTAGACTTAAATAAACATGATATTAAAAAAAAAAAAAATTAACCAGTGAATGAAATTTGAGCAGGTCTTGGTAAACAACACTTATTTATACTGATATTTTAAAACGCCCATTTTAAAATAGATGTAGTGAGCTTTTTTCTCTCAAATAAAATGATATATATTTGATTACTTCCATGTCTTATCCCTTACAGGAGTAGCTATAGTATGTACACCCATTGAAAACACTGGAGATAAATGTGTCCGATTACCTCTAAACGCACCAACACCATTTCGCATGCGCACGAGGAAAAAAAAAAAAAAAAACTCAGCTGCAGGTCGAGCCGTTAGCTCGTGTTGCCGCCATTAGACCGTTCATACCAGGCGTAATTATTGCCGACTTGAAAAGTAGCTGTACAATTAAGACAAATGTAGCTATTTAGGATTCTAAAGGATCTCTAGGCGGGCTTTACGCGCTTTTTCCCCCAACGTGTCAAATCCCTCATTCAAACGGTTTCCGTTTGATAAGTGCGTGACGTGGAGGCTGTCTGAGAGGGGCGGGGTGTTGGAGGGGGGAACCTGCAGACAGTGCTGCTGTTTTATTAAAGGCTAACAGATTGAATTCAACTTTTCCAATATTAGTTTATACACAAGTTTAATGAGAGAACCTCCTGCTCACAAAATAAAAGAGCCATAAAACCTCAGGTAATAGTAAAATAAAAAAAAAATAAAGAAATGATTTGGCAACCTTGAACATTAACTTTTAAACTTTTTTTAATAATAAAAACAAATTCAATCTGACCCCAGATAAAGCAAACGATGGGAATGTCACACAAGTCATTCATATTTATATGAAAAAGTGTACAAAAACATAATGCAAGAGTAAAAGAAATAAAAACCATGTACTAAATTGCATTAAATTGGGAAAATACGTGCAATTAAAAAGAGATTCAATCAAAACAAAGAATTTCAAGGCTTTCAGAGGAGGAAATCTGTATGGTCTCTGCATAATGTAATAGTTTGAGTAAGAAGAGTTGAAACAGAGTTAGTTTTTTTGTTGTTTTTTTGTTTTGTTTTTTACCAAGAAACATGCTTTTATGGATATAAAACAGTGCTAGAGTAGTATTTCATTCATAAAATAGAAAAAAATTATGTGCTTTTTTTCAGATGAGCAAACATAGCATCTATATACTAAAGCAAGAAGCCTCAACAATTTGAGATAAATTTGAGTTTATCGAGAAACTTATTGTGAAGACATCGAAAAAGTACAAAAAAGAGGATACACTCCATGTCCACGCAAAGTCTGTGCTTCACTGTTAAACAACAATGGGGAAGTTTAAAACACATATCCCAGTGTTTGTTTGTAAAAAAAAAAAAAAAAAAAATGCAGAAGAGAAATTCCAGACAGGAGTCCATTTGACCGTCTCTAGTAGTTGGCTACATAAGGCATGGCAGCTAAGTTTTTCTGAAATAGTGAAATTATATTTCTTTTTCTTATGGAAGGTTTAGAGCAAAGGGAAATTTAGATTGCTATGATCTCAAAGAAATAAAAATGAATATCTACAGTGCTTTCCTTTTGTAGGGTAAAGATAGGGTCCATAAAAAATATTCAAATCCAGTTGATTTTAAATTTCTAATTTAGGCAGGAAAATTGTAAAGCAGAGTTTCTAATATGTTGTTTTTTATTCTTCCAACAAATTTCTTTTTTTTTTTTAAGTTAGTGCCATTGCCACCTAGCATGCATTAACCTGGATATTTCTGCTTTGGACAGTAGTGGACAAAGTACTCAACAGTAGTACTTCAGTAAAAGTGTTCATAGTCAAATCTTACTCAAATACAAAAGTTAGTTGTTCTAACATTTACTCAAGATAAAGTCCTGAAGTACTTTTTAAAATACTTAAGTATTCAAAAGCACATACATTTAAAAGTACTTAAGTATTCAAAAATAAAAATCAGGTTTCCTAAAATCAGTACATCTCTGTATAATTTTCAGTCATTTTAAACTTTGTAACTTTCAGAAACCAACTGATGCATTGATGCGTAGTACCACCTGTTACAAATTCTATGCCACGTGGAAAGATCTTCAGCATAAAAATACTTAAAAATATTAAGGACACCTATTTTTACTTATTTAAAAACAAACCAAAAACACTAGTGTCTTGATTCCCTTTACACTTTCATGGAATAGTGATTTGGGATTCATCCTTTATGGAGCAGCCTGGCCACATGAAGTAACACCTTAATAAAAGTTATAAACTATAAATTATATTTGCCCCGATGTCGTGCAAATCTCTAAAACAATGGTGTCCAAATTCAGTCCCCAGAGCTGCTATCTCGCATGTTGAAATTGCATTTCAAAAAAGAAAACAGCAAGATGGATTACAAAGATAAGCTGAGCAAAAAGGAACAAGTAACTAGCAGCTTCCTCGAAATATAGTGGAATATAAAGTACAATATTTGACTTTAAAATGTAGTGGAGTGAAAGTTATATGTACCCCCCCAAAAAAATAATCAAGCAGATTAAAAATACTCCAAAAAAGTCACTTACTTAAAGGAATAGTACACCCAAAACATGATT